GCGCTCTAATATGAGAGCCTTAATCTCAGGTGACATCCAAGGCTTGTCCATTGGATGAATCTTCACGTATTTGGACGGAAAGTAGATATCGCTGGCTGATGAAAGATCCTTAGTAAATGAGTCAGTGAGAGAGTCAACTGATGGTGAGTCACCGTCTACTTCTAAATCACTGAACCAACGGTGTGAACACGCCCACCTCCCAAAAGCGTTTATTGCCGACTGAGGAAAGCGACGCATCGGGATCTTTTTCTTTTTCAACGCACAGCGGGTTTAGTTGGTTCATTGAAAGCGGATTCCAGTGAACAGAGCTATGGTCCGAAGACCCTAATTGTGCGCTGACAATTGGTTCGCTATAGTATTCACTAAAATCCGTTAAAATAAGGTCTAGTATGCTATTGCCCCGAGTGGGTCTGATAACTACTTGTTTTAGGTTATGATTGGCTAACATGTCTGAGATGTCCTGGGTGTTAAAATCGCCTAATAACACTACACCACAGTCTGGATAAGAAGTCTTTACGGAGTCTAGTGTTTCTATGATGTACATTGTGCGATCTCGCTGCACTTGCGCAGAGGCCACAGGAAAATACACCACCCCACATATAATACCAGATAGTGGGCGTGGTAGACGATGAGGGCGTAGCCATAGCCACAAACACTCGTGTTCTGGAGACTCCAAGTCAGATCTACGCTTGAAAGGTATCTCTGAAGACACGAACGCGCACACGCCACCCCCTATTCGGTTGTGGCGGTCACGTCTCGCGATGTTGTAACCTGGAATGGTAAGGATGTTATTATCGATGTAGTCATGCAGCCAAGTCTCTGTAATAATTGCAATATCCATGTGAAACGTTAAAAGCTGAGCAGTCAACTCGTCCAGTTTGTCCCTGACCGATCGAGCATTTGCCATGTAGAAACTTGGGAAGCTGTAATTGGGGCGTTTTTGAGAAGTAATCTTAGTTAGATTGATTACTTTCACTGCTCGTTGACGATTTACTGGTTTACTGGGTCCACGCACTGCGCTGCGAGGTGTGATCCTGACCGGAATCGATCGTGCGTCCTCTCCTATTGTTCGCGGAACAAAAGGACAGCTACGAGAATTAACATAATCACCAGTAAAGATGGAGACACAATTATTTAAATTTCTTGATCTTGAGTTGTAAATATTCCTGGATTGACAGGGTCTTGAAATCACAGGAATCGGCATGTGTTTTTGAGTGAAGGTATTCCGAAAGCGTAGAATGCCCAGGTCTTGGAGTCGGTGTTTTAATTCAGGACGCAAAGAGACGCTATTAATAGAGGCAGCCAAATTACGCAAAGCCGACACCTCTCACCTTATTGAGAACTTCTAACTTCTAACTGTTTTGCACATACTAATGCAATATCCATTTTTTACGGTTATAGCGGGTTTCGCCCATAACGAGTTTCGCACATATCGTTTCGCCCAGAACGAGAATGGTTTCGCCCATAAGTAAAACTTCTACACTCTCACTCGGAAAACGTCAACCTTATAAACGTTTGTATGCACAGAATGAAGAAAAGTGACTTGACCTGAGATCATGAAATTTTGAAACGAACAAGTTACTGTTGAAACGAACAAGTCAATTATAGCTTTCACTGTGGAGCGGGGATTGTTAAGGTAATTCGCGCACGAAATACTGCAGAGACGTCCGTTTGTCGTAAAAGCATTGCTATGATTTTTTTGCATCACTTTTCTTCTCGAGAATTAAATTAAACGCTTTTGAAAACACTTGCGCGTGGAACATATCATCGTTGCAAATCTTTTGTACACGGAAGTTAAGATCCGCACGCCGCACGAATCGAATTTATGCCTGGGCGAAACCATTCTCGTTATGGGCGAAACGCTTCTTGGGCGAAACTCGTTATGGGCGAAACCCGCGGATACCTTTTTTACACAAATCGTAGTGATCGCCTGACATTGAATCGCCAGTAGGATAGATGAAACTTCCCTATTAGTTCCTAAAATTCAACTACAGGGCATAAAAAAGGAATTACATGCATTTGCTTATAATGAACTACCCATAGATATTTTTGATTACCTTAAATCGAATTGTAGTGGATCAATTTCAAATCTCCAGTTGTAGTAGATCAGTTTCAATAAGAGGTAAGCTAGTATATACATAGGCGTCTCAAGCTCACGTCTCATGAAATACGACAGGAATAACTGTGATGGTAAAGCAAGCTTAAAACGGCAGAGTTCTATTGATTTTACGTGTAAAATGTTCATATTTCGAAATATTTATCACTGTAAATCGACCATATTTCGTTCCCCATACTATTCCTTAATAACGTGTTCAAATTCTCAACAGTTCCTCTCGTACAACGAGAAGGGTGACGTAAATTGAATCTATTGCAAACAGCCATCTCATGGCTGCATCTAAAACCTTCTTTGCATAAAATTGACAAATATTTATTGTATAATAATAATACTACTTTTTTAAATCAATGGCGAATGTTCATAAAAACGAAAAGTAGAGACAAA